AATAATAACAGCATCAATTTTGATAGCAATGATAAAAAAAAAAATCCCTGCAAACTCAAGGTGAGGTCACAAAGGTCAGCAAATTGACTCCTTTGTGGCTACGTGCTTGTGGAACCATCTATGTGCAGAGACATTTCAAAAGACAATACTACAGTGAAGACAATTTTCCCAGTGACTTGGGGTTCAGATATATGTGTAAGTTGAAAGAGGGAGAAAAAGTAAGAAATTAAGTGAATGAGAGAGAGAGAATGAGAGAGAGAGAGAGAGAGAGAGAGAGAGAGAGAGAGAGAGAAGAGAGAGAGAGAGAGAGAGAGAGAGAGAGAGAGAGAGAGAGAGAGAGAAGAGAGATAACAAGGGCAACAGTCATTGGATTTAAGTAATATGTAAGGGGGGGAATTCTGGTAAAATGAGTGAAATAGCACACGGATGAAGCAGTGAGGGAATGGAATAATGTGAGGGAGGGAGTGGAGTAGGATAAGTGAACAAGAAAGTGAGTGAGAGGGGGAGGAATATGAAGCTATTGCATCACGTCCTAATTTGTTAGCCTTTGCTCAAGCACCAAAGGGCTGGAGATCATGTCAATCACTCACTGTAAGTGTGTTTCCCATAGAAAAGGTATGAATGAGATTTTTTTTTATTAAAAAGTTCTGCTGCATCACACGAAGGTCATTAGTGGCATATTCAAGACTTAGTGATAGGGTGGGGCTTGGGGGTGAAGCCCTAGATAAGGAAAGGTATACAGCACTATGATAAAAGTATTGTGCCAAAAAGGTTAAAAATGAGTTAATAATTAGGACAAAATATGTCTGATGTCAAAGGCTGTACAGCACTATTGGTTAGCATGGTAGTGAAAAGGATAAGAGGGAATAGCAAATAGATATACGAAGGGCATTCAGGACTGACACAAAGCCTTTATCCTTTCAGCATGGTTTCTCATACTTTAGATGTGGACAGAAGAGGATGAAGAGAAAGAAAAAGAAAGGGGGAGCTGGAAAGAACATGCAAAATTAGTTGAGGCAAGGGCTAAGGTCTAAGGCAGGGGTGATCCCCTTCACTGGACCTGTCTCCTAGGCCCCTCCCTATGAAAAGGAGGGGTATGAATGAGAATAATATCTTTACAAGTTATATAGATCTTCGTCAGTATTACATGATATATTCAAAACCGTTAAATACACATATCGCTGGGTGCAGTGCTGCATTTGGTATAAGTTACCAGGAGCGACGCATAAAGATGGGGTGGAAATTGACACTGTCATCTTACAGAGCACAAGAAATATTGAAAATATCATAAGTACAGCTGCAGCGGCTTCATTTTACTATAAAATGATGAAGTAATAATAAGAAAATAAATGTGCTAGACATCAAAGGTAATAGCATCTCGTGAAATTGAATAAATAACGCTGCATATCACTGCTCAGGGACTAAGTCCAGTTATTAATGTCTTTTTTTTTATAAGATGGTGCGAAGTGCTAATGAATGGGGGTATAGGGGGTTTACCCCCTGTCTAGAGAATAATAGAAGATAGGAATGGTTAGGTTGGATTTTTGGGTTTCATATGATACCTAAGGGATGCATCGCTCTTGGTAACCTCACTGCTGCATACTACAACTGTGATATTGTGTAGATTATAACCATAAAAGTAGTGCTGTTTTGTTTACTCTTTGGGGCAATGACTTCACATCCAATTTCAAGTTGTTCTTAATTCAAGGTGTGCAAAGGTTTCTGGTAAATAACCCACAAGATTGTCAACATTCTATGGATACCACATACCGCTAATTGTCATTCATATTTGTCATATGCTGAAGAAATAACGTAAAAATTCGTGAAAAAAAAAAAAATCATTAATCCTGTTGGTGATCGGTGGTAGTTGAAATCAGTAAAAACAACCAAATAGTTATTTAACCGGCAGTCTCATACACATAAGAGAACATTCTCTTTTATACTGAAACCGGGTATAACAAATAAATAAGCCAGGGAAAGGAGAGGAAGCAAATGAAATGCCAACCTGGGACCTGGCTTTTTCTTATGCACGAAGCCGTGTTGATTAGCCTCGCCTGATCCTGAGCAACCAGTGGCGCAGGTAGCTGGGGCGTTTGGCAACTTAAAAAAGGTAAATAAACAAGATTACAAACAAGGCAATTAATATATTACTGCTCTGAGCCAAAATTATGCTGATATGGTTATTTAAGATTCTCTTCTCTCTCTCTCTCCTTCTCTCTCTCTCTCTCTCTCCCTCTCTCTCTCTCTCCTCTTCTCTCCTCTCTCTTTCTTCTCTCTCTCTCTCTCTCTCTCTCTCTCTCTATATATAATATATATATATATATATATATATATATATATAATATATTATACATTTCTCTTCTCTCCTCCTCCCTCCCTCCCTCCTCCTCTCTCTCTCTCTCTCTCTCTCTCTTCTCTCTCTCTCATCTCTATCTTCTCTCTCTCTCCTCTTCTCTCTCTTCTCTCTTCTCTTCTCTTCTTTCTTCTCTTCTCTCTTCTC